GTGTGGTTTTGATTTGTATTTCCCTGATGAGGAGTGACGTTGAGCATCTTTTCATGTGCCTGTTGGCCGTCTGGATGTCTTCTTTAGAGAAGTGTGTATTCATGTTTTCTGCCCATTTCTTCACTGGATTATTTGTTTTTTGAGTGTGGAGTTTGGTGAGCTCTTTATAGATTTTGGATACTAGCTCTTTGTCTGATATGTCATTTGCAAATATCCTTTCCCATTCCATTGGTTGCCTTTTAGTTTTGTTGATTGTTTCCTTTGCTGTGCAGAAGTTTTTATCTTCATGAGGTCCCAGTAGTTCATTTTTGCTTTTAATTCCCTTGCCTTTGGGGATGTGTCAAGTAAGAAATGTATGTTTTAATCAATTTAAGTTAAACAATTTCTACTAAAGAAGCTTAAAGAAAAACAACTTTTCTTCAAAATTAGTATCCTAAACTTGGGTGTCTCTACTGTCTTGTGTGCATGTCTGTTTGTGTATGTTCATGAGCACACCTCGAATGTTAGACTCTATCTGTGTTTGTGTGTATTTATGTGTAAAAGCCAATGGATATTATATATAGAGAGAGATGGAAAGATATATTATGGGTAAGGGTCAACATATTTAATCAGACTATTATCTGGACTTTAGATCAAGATTTTTAAAATTACTCAGACAGGTCTTCCTGGCTGGATCAGTCAGAAGAGTATGTGACCCCTGACCTCTGGGTTGTGAGTTACAGCCCCACATTGGGGGTAGAGATTAATTAAAATAAGAAATAAAAAAGTGATTCAGACAAATGAATAGTATGACTGATATAACAGTGATTTAGATGTTGACTATCTGAAGGTTTGCGTGGTAAAAATGTGTGTTTCAGACTGAAAAAGGTATTCCTCCTTTCTAGTCACCGAATGATCTAGATAATACTATAACCCTCAGAAGAAATTTTTTAGGTCCTTTGTTTAGCCCCTTTAATACTGCAGATTGCAATTTTACTAGTAAAATTCTGATAATAATAAAAACAATGATTTCTCCGTGAACGTTGATTAGATATGCCAGCAGTGGGTTAAGTCCTGCTGAGAAAAAGGTGAATGAGTCATGGTGACCTCTCATCTTGTGCTGTGGAAGCTCAGAGCTCAGAGTGCTGGATAGTGCCTGATGTGGGAGTAAAGGGATAGGCAGGAAAGCAAGCCTCAGAAAGACCAAACTGATGGTTTCATAGTTTGTTCACTGGAGAATACCTTGGATCCAAATTCAGAACTTATTTTTATTTATTTATTTTTTTAAATATACTCTGTTGTGTCTGGCTTCTTTGGCTCAGCACAGTGTTCTCTCATTCACTCATGTCATTGTAGTTATTAGCAGTTCATTCCTTTTCATCGCTAATATTCTATCATATGAATATACCACAAGTGCATTTTCCATCGCTTGTTGCTAGACATTAGGTCATGTCCAGTTTAGAGCCATTTGAATAAGATTGTTAATGAAGATTCCTTATAAGAGGTGTATATGTGTATGTGGACCTATTTGGCTTTAGTATGTTTTGGGAAAATATGAAGGAGTAGACTAACTAGGACATAGGGTTAGAGTAGATGTATGTTTAATTTTATAAGAATCGACTGAATAGTCCTCCAAGATAGTTGTACCATCGTACGCACCTGGCAGCAATGTAACAGACCTCTGTCTGCTCCACATTTGTCAACAGTTGATATTGCCCATCTTTTTTATTTTAGCCACTTTTTTGTGTATCTTATTGCAATTGTAATTTAATTCCCTGAAGACTAATTCATATGTCTTCATTTGTGGAGTATCTATTTACATCTTTTTGTGCATTTTCATTTACATTGGGTTGTCTTTTTTGTTATTAATTTGTAGGAGTTCATTATATAATCTGTCTAGAAGAGGGTTGTATGGGTGTGTGTCTATGTGTACGATGTTTTGTGAATATGCGTTTCATTCTGTGGCTTGGTCTTTTAATTTCTTAGTGCTGTCTTTTGATGAGAAGAAATGTGAATTTCAATAAAATTCCATTTCTCTCTTTTTTCTTTTATGCTTTGTGCTTATTGAATTTATTTTCTATTTAAGAAGTCTTTCTTATTCCAATGTCATGAAACTATTCTTTGGAATTTTTCTTTTATAAGCTTTATTGTTTTAGCATTTATGTTTAAGATGTTTCAATCTACAGTTCATTCTGAATATATTTTTGTGTTTGGAGTGAAGTAGAGGTCAAATTTTATTCTTTACAAATGAAATTCCAGTTGTTTCATCACCCTTTTTTTATTTTAAGGTTTTTCTTTTCCTATTTAGTTGACTTGGCTTTGTCAAAAATCAATTAGCTGAATATTTATGAGTGACTGTGAACTCTTTTCTGTTTCATTGATCTTAGACCAATGCCACACTTTATTACCGGGGATTTATATTAATCTTGAAATCAAGTAGTAAACTTCCTTCAATTTTTTTTCTAAAATAATTTTGGCTGTTTTGTTTTTATTTTATTTATTTCATTTATTTAATTGAGATATAATTCACTTATAACATACTAGCTTTAGATGTACTACATAATGATTCATTATTTGTATACACTGTGAAATGATGACCACCATAAGTCTGTAGTTACCATCCGTCACCATACATAGTTACAAAATTTAAAGAAAAATTTCTCTAATTTTTTGCACAATTTTAGCAAAGTTTCATGTCTGCTGTCCTATATGACAGTTGCTTAGAAACAAATGTGGTATAAGGATACATACTGACAGTAGCAGAAAGTGAGGACTAGGATTAACAGTGAAGGAGAGGAGCTTGAAAGCAGAGAGCCCCAAATATAAAAACCATACATAATACTTGAAAGCATTTCACGTGTATAACAAGTAGCTCCTTCTTTGTTGTTCCTGATAATAATGCTACAGACACTACCAAGAAGAACATATATCATAGTCCATGACCCCTGATAATAAGCAGGGGAGTAGATATCTTAGAATTCCATGCAAATCAAGATTAAAAATTATTGATACCTAAAGAGTTATACATTTGTATCTCCAAATATACTTAAAATTAAGTTGTTGCATAAGCAAGATTTTGCACTGTGTGTGTGTGTGTGTGTGTGTGTGTGTGCGTGCGCGCGCGCGCACGTGTGCAAAAAGCATTTTGATTTGTGGAAAAAGTTTTTGATAAATACATGGAGATAAATTGTGTTTCCTTTTCAGAGAGGACTAAATACTAAATTCTAAATTGTCATTCTGACTGGATATTTTATGTCTTAAATCTTTTAGTGGCTTGAAAATGTATTTCACTTAACCTAAAATTTTTGGTGTTGATCTACATATGGATATGTATGTTGACAAACTATTTTGCAATTTAAGACAATATTTATCCCTTTGGATATTGTCTAACTATTTTAATTAGAAAAAAATATGTGAGAGAAACCTTATTTTATATATAAGCTTTATGTTGACATTTTCTAACCAGCAAATATATATTTTATCTAATTATTATTTCCTTTTCAATGTTAGGGATTTTTGCCGTCAGGATGAAAGCTGTGATTATTATTTCAGTATCGATGCAGATGTTGTTTTGACAAATCCAAGGACCTTAAAAATTTTGATTGAACAAAACAGGTACTACATAAAATTCATGTCGATTTATTTAAAATGACAATCATTTTCTGTGTCTATGTGGGCACACTATACTTATCTGTGTTTAGTGAATTGAGGGGAATCACATGAAGTTATTTTCTATACCTTATAACTTTCAATTCTGATTAGTTTTCTTTTAAAGGAGTCAAAAAGAAAACACTTGATGAAAATTAGAAGTATTTAATATTAGTTACAATCATAAATGCAATGTTTATCAGTTATAGTTGGACTATTTTTCTGTTTAAAGCTAGATGGAATTATGATCTATTTGGAAAATTTGGAAATTTTTTTCTCTGTAGGTATTGTTAAATTAGAATTCATAAAACCTATGATCTTTTGAAAAGTTATTGCAGAGATCTAAGTTCTTAGAATTTGAAAAAAAATTTCAGAGATCTGTAATTTTATTTAGTATTGAACTAATAATTATTACTCAGCAGTACCTATTTTTATTTAACTGAAGTGTGAAAAAGACACCATCTATACCAGCTTATAATGATATTAATCATTATTTATTATATTACTCCTATTCCTATTAATACTTATTAATCCTCTTATCAGTAGCATAGCATACCTTTAATATGTGCTCATTAAATGACCTGTATTGTTTTTAAGTGTGTTTATATATATTAACACAGTATGTGCTTATTAAATGACCAGTATTGTTTTTAAGTATGTTTATATATATGAACACAATTAGCAAATAGAATGGCTAACAGTGAAATGTTAGAATTACTGTTTTTATTTTGCTTAGTAAAATATATAAGAAATCTGTTATGCTATTCTAACCTACTCTATATGTAATATAATTTGCCAATTTGAGAATTTAGTTATTACTTCAAAATCCAAGATCTCTTAGTATTAATCTCTATATACAGCCCCACTGTATATCTAGCAATAGATGCTTATCTATCTAAGATAACTATCTATAAGTTACAAGTAATTTTCAAAACGTATGAATAAGGATTTGGAAATAAGGCAAGGAAAAGCATTTAGGTTATCCTAGAGATAAGGGAAGGGCTATAGTTGTAATTTGTAACTCTTAAAACCTAGTGGAGTTCAGTAATATTATCTTGAATTTGTAGTGTTAATTGCCTCTTAACTTTGATTTAAATTCAATATTATGGAATGCACATTTTAAAAATAATCTTTGTATGTTTTTACTATATATGACACTTTTGTAGGTACTTACTATTCTTTTAGTGAACTATTTAATGACTTTATACTATGGATTAAGCATATATCCCCTTTAATATTAACCTAATGTTTTAAACCTTGTAACAAATAAAATTACCTCATAAGTAACTCAGCTGCCATCTGGGGCCATTGTTCTTGAAGTGCCAGTAAAACTCAGGATATTTCTCCAATTCCATAAATTTCTGTTACTGATCAAAGGTTTTGGTTCGTATGACATTTGTGGTTCTTGCTCCTGTATCCAAACATGTAATTTTCAGAAAAAAATTTACATCTACCAAAAATGTTGTGAGATTTAGTAGACTGAAGGTTAGAGGGACGGGGATGGGTCACATCTTAGAGCATGTGGCTTTCTAGCATCTCATCAGCTCTTTTCCCTTTCCTCTTCCTATCTCTGCCATTTACTGCCTTGCTCCAAATTTTACTCCTTCAGTAATATCGTGTAATTCAGCATCCCCTAGCTGCTATCCTGATACAGGAGTCCCCATTATCCATAGAGGATATGTTCCAAGACCCCAGTGGATTCCTGAAACTGCAGATAGTACCAATCGCTATGCATACTATGTTTTTTCCTATATATACATACCTACGTAAAAATTTAATTTCTAAATCAGTCACAGTAAGAGATTAATGACCATAATAAAATAGAACAATTATAACAAAATGCTATAATAAAAATAAAATATGTGAATGAGGCCTCTCTCTCTCAAAATATCTTCCTGTTCTGTACTCACCCTTCTTGTGATGATGTGAGATGATAAAATGCCAGCTCATGAGATGAAGTGAGGTGAATGACGCAGGCAGTGTGATGTAGCATTAGGCTTCTATTGATCTGATGATTCACCGTAAGGAGTATCATCTGCTTCTGGACCATGGTTGACCCTGGGATAATTGAAACCATGGAAAGTGAAACCATGGGTAAGGGGGCCTACTGTATTTCAATACTCAAAAATATTGAGGCACACTGCAGACAGAGTTTGATTTCCATTTCTTTGCCCAGCCTTCCTTGGGAGGCAGCTGGGATTATAAATTACAAGATTTTTTAAATATATATTTGATCTTGCCAGTTGTTACCTTTGAATGATTTCTTTTTTTTACCATTGAATTATTTCTTAAATCAACATAATATATGTTCTGAAATCAACACAATATATCTAATATTGTAGATATTCTAAACAAAACAGAATATAAGTGTTTTTGGTTAACATTTCATTTTAAAAGGAACAAGGAAAAATAAACCAAAATAACCATTTTGTATGATATGTCTTATAGACTGTGTTTCACTTTTCTGTGAGTAAGAGAAAGGGCACACCTGGTCTTCTCAAGACTGGAGTGTTATGAAATAGTTTTTTTGTTGAGAATACCTGGTTCATAAACTTCCTCATGGAGGTGTTGTGTGAGGTTTTCTTTTTTTTCTTTTTTCCTTTTTGTAAATTTAAATGTTAGTTAACGTAAAGTGCAATATTGGTTTCAGGAGTAGAATTTAGTGATTCATCACTTATGTACAACACCAACTGCTCATCCCAACAAGTGCCCTCCTTAGTACCCATCACCCATCTAGCCCATTTCCCACCCACCTCCCTCCATCAACCCATTGGTGTTTCTCCATCATTAAGAGTCTCTTGTGGTTTGCTTTTGTCTTCTCTTACCCCTACCCTTCCCATACGTTCATCTGTTTTGTTTCTTAAATTCTACATATGAGTGAAATCATGTATTATTTATCTTTCTCTGACTTATTTCACTTAGCACAATACACTCTAGCTCCATCCCCATCGTTGCAAATGCCAAGATTTCATTTTTTGATGGCTGAGTAATATTCCATTCTTTTTTTAAATTTTAAATATATTTTTAAGTTTATTTATTTTGACAGAGAGAGAAAGCACAAGCAGGGGAGGGGCAGAGAGAGAGAGGGAGAGAATTTCAAGCAGGTTCCTTGCTGTCAACTCAGAGCCTGATGCAGGGCTCGATCATCTCATGAAGTGTAAGATCATGACCTGAGCTGAAATCAAGAGTCAGATGCTTAACCAACTGAGACACACAGGTACCCCAGTAATATTCCATTCTCACACCATACACAAAAATAAATGCAAAATGGCTTATGGAAGACCTCAGCGTGAGACAGGAAACAATCAAATCCTAGAGGAGAACACAACCACCAACTTCTTTGACCTTGGCCCCAGCAACTTCTTACTAGACACGTTGCCAAAGACAAGGGAAACAAAAGCAAATATGACCTATTGGGACCTTATCAACATAAAAAGCTTCTGCACAGTGAAGGAAACAATCCACAAAACTAGAAGGTAGCCTATGGAATGGGAAAAGATATTTGCAAACGACATATCTGATAAAGCGTTAGTGTCCAAAATCTGTAAAGAACTTACCAAACTAACTCCTGAATAACAAACAACTCAGTTAAGAAATGGGCATAACACATGAATAGACACTTTTCCAAAGAAGACATCTAGATGGCTAACAGACATAGGAGAAGATGCTCAGTATCACTCATTTTCAGGGAACTACAAATAAACCACAATGATATATGACCTCTCACCTGTCAGAATGGCTAAAATCAATAACACAAGAAACAATAGGTGTTGACAAGGATGGGGACGAAGGGAAACCCTCTTACACTGTTGGTGGGAATGCAACCTGGTGCAGCCACTCTCAAGAACAGTATGGAGGTTTCTAAATAAACTAAAAATAAAACTACTCTATGATCCAGCAATTGCACTCTTAGTTATTCACCCAAAGGACACAAAAGGACAGATTCGAAGGGTGCATGCAGCACAAAGTTTATAGCAGCATTATCAACAATGGCCAAACTATGGAGAGAGTCCAAATATCCATCAACTGTTGAATGGATAAAGACGTGTGAGATTTTTGTAAAAACTGACACCACCAGGGGTGCTTGGGTGGCTTCGTCAGTTAAGCTTCCACCTGACTCTTGGTTTTGGCTCAGGTCATGATCTCACATTTCTTGAGATACAGCCTCACATCAGGGTCTGCACTGATAGCGCAGAGCCTGCTTGGGATTTTCTCTCTACCTCTCTCTCTCTGTCCTTCCCCTTTGTGCATCCTCTCTCTGTCTCTCAAAATAAACTTAAAAAAAATGGCCACTACTATAGTTCATTTCATTTTAAAAGTAATTCTAGAGCAGCTTCAGATTTTGTTACCTCATTTGGAAAGTGTTAACACATTATAAATTAGATTTTCCTAAGAAAAATGTGACTTATTTTGAATTTGTAATATGTGCTTTTCTCAAAGGGACTACTTTCCTGGTAGGTAGTCAGATCGAGTGCTATGGCAATTACCACCTATTTTGTTTTTTACAGTAGTTGAAGGACCAGAAGAATGTTCAGTGTTGCCAGGCTAGCACAACCCATTTTATAAGTTATAAAAAAAATTAAAAAAGAAACATACTTTAAAGTGATTCAGGACTTAACTTTAGGAAAACTGGCATATTTATAAAAATCTAACCTCATCTTTATTCATTTTTTCACTCAACAAATATTTATTGAATAATTGAATACACCAGGGACTATTATGTCTTCTCAATGATGGTGAAAATATTTGATTTCATTTAGCATAATTTCTGAACTACTTAACATAATTAAATAATGGAAGTAGTTTAACTTATTTTAAAAGTCATTTTTAGACTTTCATTAGCATTTTCAATTTTTCTTTTTTGTTACTTGTTTTAAGAAAATTAGTGTGCTTAAGAAAAAGTGGAAAGAAATTCTTGTTTTTCTTTTATTTTTTTCTTCATTTCGTATTTATTTTTATTTAATTTTTAGTTAGTTAACTTACAGTGCAATATTGGTTTCAGGAGTAGAATTCAGTGTTTTGGACTTACCATGTGTGTATTAAGTGAACTTTAGTGTTTTGGTGTCATGCTAAGCCCAAAACACACAATTCAGCGGTAACTTAAGTATAAATAATTTCTTGGATTTGCTTTTCTCTCACGCTGTCTTTAGAAAGATCATTGCCCCTCTTGTAACTCGTCATGGAAAACTGTGGTCCAACTTCTGGGGAGCTTTGAGTCCTGATGGATACTATGCTCGATCGGAAGATTATGTAGATATTGTTCAAGGGAATAGAGTGTAAGTTACTTGATCTACTCTTTTACTGTAAAAGTGCCATAATCTCAAAATGTGGTCTTGTTAACATTACCTGAATTTTTATTCCTCTTTTCTTTGTGATTAATGGAAATTTGAAAACCTGGAATCCTGAAATACTAGTGTAAAACTAATATTAAAAGAATCTGTTTTTGAAATTCTAAATCTTCACAGGAACAAACTTACTGCTGTGGGAAATGTAGGAGACACTACATGGTTAACAGGGGCAGCCAGAGATAGCTGTCGGAGGGTAGTAGTATTTAGTTCGAAGTTTAGAAAAGGAATTTTGTTTAGCTGATTTTTCTAGCGCCCAGGATGAAAATTTACAAGTAAACCAACAAAAACAATACCAAAGGCCATAACTTTCCAACATTTCCTACTGCAAGAGTTTTGTGTGAAATAGGTAGTATTCTACTTTAAAGATCACTTTCTTCACTAATATCTGGTTTCCATTTCTAGAGTTTGAAAAGAATATGCTTGCTACAAAGTGTGTGCATGATTGATACCTGTTTCAGAGACAACAGTTGGTATTTTTTAGACTAAAAAATATCACAAATGTAATAGTGTGGTTTTGCTAAGGTAAGATAGAGAGGCATGTTATCTTTTATTTTTTCTACAGATGATGGACCAGAGGCCATCTTAACTGAGTGTTAAGGGCTTTGCCTAATTTCTCAGATGCATCCACCCACTTAAAAGCGAAAACATTCTTTCATGAGTAAATATACGTGCCCCTAAATTTAGAGTAAAAAACCCCACACATTTATTGTTGAACAGTTGAGTATGAAAAAGATGTTTCGCTTGTGAAAATAGTAATAAATTTGAATAATACAAATATGATAAAAGCTTTTGTTAGCTGTGGTTAAGGAGCATGATAGCTGAGAAAACACTATTCAGATCATATACTATTGTTTCAAAGTACTTTTATTGTCTCTCTGAGGATTTGTATAGACCAAATGCCTGATACTATCTGTGGGTATAGCAGAAATAAGGGCTCACAGAAGTGGAATAGAGAATTTATGTTTCATTTAAGTTGCTTTAGGCACTGGTGATATTTTGTGCAGCTTCCTGTCACTGTTGTTTAAAGTGTAAGAAAAAGAATATGGGAGAGGCTTTTGATCTAGTTAATACAAGAATGCACTTCATGGCCAAAAGCTACATGAAGGAATGACATCTTATGACATGTACACATGTAAGGGTGTGTGTGTGTGTGTGTGTGTGTGTGTGTTTCTTCAAAACTGAGACACTGCCTACTCCGCCAGTGATAAATTTCTGAAATCAGATGACACATTGTATATTTTTATGGCTGTTTCCTTTGAGGCTCATCTAGCAAGACTAAGTGAAATCATATTCCTTTTAATATCTAACTACATTTCCTTGGTCAAGATCTTTCCTTTTTGTTCTCTAAAAGCAACAGGCATATTCCTTCAGGCGAAACCTTACTTGCTGTTCTTAGGAAATGAGTCATGTTCAGAATGAGAAGACAAATGTGGGGAAGAATAAAGGACAAAATAGTGTCTCTCAACACTCATGTACTTCTAGCTATATTTTTTCTTATCTTCTCTTTCTACACAAATTTGAGTTGGCTTAGTGAATTTCCAGAGAATATATTTTAGGAAAATTTTAGGTTGTATTCAGTGGCGTGCTGGTGAATGTGTAACAACTGGGTCTTGGGGTTAAGGGATGCCCTGATTTGTAGTGTTTGCCAGTTTCTGTGATGTAAATGCTCCTGCCATGGCTGATTTCAAGCTTCCAACATGAAGTCACTGAGTCTAGACTTGGGAAGTGAAGCTAAGTGTTCTGGGAGCCAGTGTGAGCTGGTTGCAGTACACCATAGTGTGTGTGTGTGTGTGTGTGTGTGTGTGTGTGTGTGTGTGTGTGTGATTATTTTTGCTATCACTCTGCTTGATCCTAAGTGGAAATACTTTCTGTGTTATACTCTAACAATGACATGAAGGATTATAGTCAAAATGCTAAACAGATAACAGTCTTAAAGTGAAGTTTATATAAGGAGTTAGTATTTATCAAACAAAAATGTAGTGTATAACAAGTAATGTCATAGATGTGTGTGTGTATATTTTAAATATCATAAAATGTGTTTGCATTTGCATGTAATTTGATTCAATAATTTATATATACAAAATTTAAAAACATACAGGGCACTTATTTTAAAAACATAAAAATAAACCTTTAAATATATATATATTTTAATTTCTGGTATTTTGGAATGTCTTGTCTTTACTTTCAGAGGGATATGGAATATCCCATACATGGCTAACGTGTACTTAATTAAGGGAAAGACGCTCCGATCAGAGATGAATGAAAGGAACTATTTTGTTCGTGATAAATTGGATCCTGATATGGCTCTGTGCCGAAATGCTAGAGAAATGGTAGGGTATACAATGATGGCTTGCCTGAATGTTCTTATAAAGTGGCCTGCTTTACCAGTTGATGTGTCATTGTTTTGATGCTCCTTTTCTTTCTAATTTGTAAGTACTAGCCAATTTTTTTGGTTCTGTATTGAAAAAAACTGGGAGAAGTTATAGAGCATAATTTGTGACCATTTGTCTGTAGAAACAGTTTGAAAAATGTTAGCTTTGGTGCTTAGGCTAACTCATAAACGACAAAAAGATTTCAGTCACAAACATGGATTTGTTGCAAATCAGCTTTGCATTTCTAAGAAATCATGTTTACTTTCATTCAAAATTTTATAGTGGAAACCTGACCTAGTTAAATTAATTAGATAAGTCTGGGTGAAACAATCCTTTACACATTTAAGAAGAACACACTTTTGTTCTGAAATCAATGTCTCCATTATTTCTGTTGTTACAAACTGCACACCGCTCAAAAGGCGCTCCTCACCACTATACTAGAAGGCATGAGTTACGGAGTGTATTTGATCTGTGTGAAAAGTAACGATACATTGTTTTTCTACAAATATACTTTCATTGTAGAGTTTTAATGATCGTGGAAAATAGTTTGTTTTTCAAAATGTGTAAATGTTGTAAAGCCTGTTTGTATAGTTTTCTGTTTTAGAAATGATTGGGTTATTTTATTCAAATTTATATATACAAATGTGATTTTGGAAAAAATCAGAAAAGTTGGCAAGTATTTTTTTCTAGTTTAATAAGGCATGTATTGTTGGAGTGTATGTGTTTTTCCTACAAGCCTGTGTGCATTGTTATATCGAGTATCTTCAGTACTTGTGATTATAACTTGTGCTCATCTTTTGCTAATTTGACTCAACAGCGCGTCCTGGAATGGCCTGTCTTACACATTTTCCCCTTTGTCTTAATTTTGTGTCTAATGAAAACTCTACTAAGGAATGAGCTTGGATTTATGTTTGACCAAAAAAAAAAAAAAAAAAAATTGGGCTGGAGTTGTTTCTTTGTGTGCACTATAAGCTTTGCTTGTTATGCATGTTGTCTATGAAGGACATTTCAGAATGTCAGCTTTTGATCAAGGGCTGCTAATTTTATTTACCTAAGAATACCTGAGAGAGTATGGGTGTGCAGGTCAACTTACCCAATGCTTCTCTTCATTTTAGACTTTACAAAGGGAAAAAGACTCCCCTACTCCGGAAACATTCCAAATGCTCAGCCCCCCAAAGGTGTTATTTTTATTTATTTTTATTTATTTTTGTTTGTTTAATTAATACTAGATATGGTATATTGCCTAGCAGTAAAGTTTCTTTAACAGTCTTCTTTCCAATTAGCATGGTAAAATGTTGGTATTCATTGGTTCTTAATTAGTGTATGTGTACGTATATTTTGTGTGCTGGGGATGGGCATCGTGTGATATTAAATTCTTAGTTCTTCAGGGTGATGTACATTTTATGGTTGACAGATGAGAAAATTAAACCCAAATCTCTTTCACTGGTTTTTCTAGTTTTGTTTTTTAAAGGGAGAGAAGAAATAGGAGTAAGTATAAAGTATATCTTGATTAAAATGAGATCTGGGTACCCTTCATCATTATTTTTTTTTTTATTAATAACTAACTCTTTTACCATTAAAACAGGTACAAAAAGAAACAACCTTACCATGGTGGTTTTTGCCAAGTTTATTTCGTTTAAGGCAAGGATACGAGACTGATTTTCTTTAGCTGCCTTTAATGAACAAATAATTTCTGTGTTCAGTTTTTAAACATCAGGACAATAAGAGAATGAAATAGTCTGATGTAAAAATACTGACATTTGAAATCTTGTTTAAAAATGTGACATCTTCTTTGAAAGGGAAAGAAGCCAAAAGAGGTACAATTCATTGCACTTGGTGTCTCAAAAATATTTCTGCTTTCAAACAGGAATTGTTTTTCCCCTGATGTCTACATCTAGGATCAATGAGAAAGGGACAAAAACAGTCATTCTTCCTCTTCTTTTTTTCAGTTGAGTGTCAGTGCTATCAATTAGTTTTGTGTGGTGCCTGAATTTATAATTAATAAAAGTTTTATCTCTTTTATTTTAAATTATGCATGTTTTTATATGAGAAATAAAATGCATGTTCAGGAATGAGATATAAAAGTTGAAATTAATATCTCCTATATATTTTTCCTATGGTTAAGTTTATTTTCTTGTACTTTCCTCTAAGATTGTTCATACTGTTATTCTTTGGCACATAGGGTGTGTTTATGTACATTTCTAACAGACATGAATTTGGAAGACTTTTATCAACTGCTAATTACAATACTTCACATTATAACAATGACCTCTGGCAGATTTTTGAAAATCCTGTGGTATGTACTTCATACTCAACTTCATTTATTTCTTATTTTCAGATGTAAATCAGTTGGGTTAATGACATGAAAATGTGATAAGAAGCTTTAAAAAGTTAAAGTTTAAAAAACAGTTTAAAAATGTAATCAATTGCAGCTTTCAAAAATAATATAATTTAGTGTAATAATATTAATTATAATTAATACTCTGTTAATTATAATAATTTAATATAATACTAAATATTTTTAAAAGCTACAATTGATTATATTTCTTGACCAAGAATTTTTAAAATATAGACGTATATTACGCATGGGGAAAGGAATGATCAGTTTCTCTTAATATTTCTATTTTATATATTCAAAAGCATCATCAGATTTTTAATTGTAATTTCAGAAAAACTGTTTACAAGTAGCTCAAGCAGAGAATTCAAGGAGTTAGTTTGAGAAAATACATTTTATTTTATCTTACTTATTTTTTATAACAAGTTTTTGAATGTACACCAAAGACAGCCAGAGAAAATTGCAGAGTAAGTGGATTCAGCATGTATAGAAAGTCTTAAATTGAGGAAACTATTTCCTTCTAAACTCTAAAATTATTTCTTATCTTAAAGATTTGAATCCTCAAGGAATTCATTCCTTTTTTGCCTTGCTGGAGCCTATTCTCTTCAGTCAAATTGGAACGCTTATTCCAGGGAAAATACTCTCTTTAGTATTCATCTCTGGAATGCTACTGTTTACAGCTTTCCCCTTGCCAATAGTAAAAGTTTTAAATTACAAAGACTCAATCCACCTGATCAGAATTGTCTTTTATTTCGTAGGAGTAGTTGACAGCCAGGAATAGTAAATTCAAAGTCTCTGAAGACTCTGTTGAATAGAAAAATAACATTTTTTGACATTTTTGTATTTTAAAAGTATTTTTGTTTCGTTTAAGCTACATATCTTCATCTTTCACAAGAGTGTAATTAAAAAGAGGCTTTTTAAGTGGTGAGGGTGGAATTACATATTTTACTTTGGCGCTGAGCCTCTTGGTTATTTTGAGGAATAGAATTATTATATTTGTTGGGTAATATTAGCTCCTGAAAAAATGTCCCAAATTATATCCTGAATTGTAGACATTTGTGTCAGGATTCATAACTTTGGAGAATATGAAATGAAAACATCAGAAGTAAGTAGGAACTGCTTTTCTTTCCATGGCTTTGTTTTGTTTTTGGTAGATTACCCTGATCAATACGCCTCATGAGGGATGTCCCATAGCAAAATATTCAACCATTGTCCTATTATCAGAACTTCTAAAAAATTAGTCAAGTAAGAGTTTGTTAAATGATATTTGAAAGGTGGCCTAAAATGAGACGTTAATGCCTTAATGTGAGATCTTAGGAATTTTTTTTTTTAATTTCAAAAAATCGATAATGATGCATAAAAAATAGTTAAAGATTCTGAAATGTTATAAATGATTTTTTTCTAATTTCCTCCATATTCTGAAATCAGAGAACTAATCAGTATTAAAGGGATTAATGAGATAATAGAGTAATTTGATTCTTACAATTATATACGAAGTATAAATGAAATTTATTTAAAGAATTTGAAGATAACTTTGGTTCTTTCATATGATCTACATATAAGCAGAGATGTGCAAAATCTAAGAATGGCATACACATTATCAGGGTTTCTCTGAAATATGGCTTAAAAGATGTATTTCAGACAAATATTTTTTGAAACATATTTTGATTGGAATTATTTTGAGTCTGTACCTCAAGTCTTCCCTTCTGGTTCCCCATGTTTATACTTTGTAAAGAGAAAATTAAGAATTTTGTTAAACATGTCTAAATACAAGAGATTTTTTTTGATACGAAATGTCTCCACGTTTTCATTTATACTCTCTAAATATGTGATTTTTAAATTAAACACTTGACTCAGGAAGAGAATTCCTTAGCTGATATTGACACAACTTGAGATACCTTAGTATGTGGTTTATGTATCAGAGCTTAGTCAAAGAAGAATCAGATTCCTGAGTTAGCATGAAGACAAGTTTTCTCTTAATGTATGGTTCTATACCTTAATATCAGTAACTAAAAGAAATGAAAATATTAGTAATCCATGATCATTCTTTGATACATAATAAAAACAGAAGTGAAGAGAGAAAATTTAAATACATTTTAAAATATCATAACTATTTTAGAGTAATTCACTCTCAAAATCCTGTATATATGAGTAAGACCCTAGTTGATTAATTTGCTTATTTTTACTAATATTTGTTAGGATTTTGTTCTTTACCATTAACTTTTAAGCCCATATTTACCTATCCCTGTGCTTATGCATAGAATACAGCATACAAATTTTAAAATCCTGAGGTCTAAAAATTCATAAATAAAAATTTCATGTTTCATAGAATGATGTGAACATATAGAGTCAGACAAAGTTTAACAAGCATAAACTGGTTTCTGAAAATTCCTTTTTTGTCCAATACACTAGTCATTTATAAATTGAGCAGTTTCTAAAATGCATACACTTTATATTTTCTATTATTTATTAAAAGGTATTTGCTTTATTCTGTGCAATTGCTTTTTTTTTTGATAGGACTGGAAAGAAAAATATATAAACCGGGATTATTCAAAGATTTTCACTGAAAATATAGTTGAACAGGTTTGTATTAATAATTTCAATGATGTGTAGAGTACTTTTGCTATGTTTTCCAGAAGGGACAATATTAATGCAATATTGCTTTATCAGAGGTGTTGTGAAAGTGGAGAAGCCATCTTGTAGATAAAAATCATGTGGCTTAATTAACCTTAAGGATCATATAGTTGTAAAAATATAGACATGAAGATCAACCATAATTTTAAGATCATTCCCTGTTTTGGCCATACTTTCAAATGTTATAGCTGTCCCAAACCACTAAAAGTAAGGAATCTTTGGCAAATCTCTGAGGTAGCCCTCATTTAATAAAAGTGTATCTTTGCAAGAAATTGATCTTTAAGAGTCTCTTCTCAAAGATGTCTTTTAAAAAATGAACTCTGTTTTAGGTTAGTGTTCCAAACTGTTGCTAATACCTTATTTCAGAGAACGTAAGGCATCTTTGATTCTGAGATGCTCTGTTATTTTGTGTACTGTAAGAAATGACCAGAACACTGCCAATTAAACTATGACATAACGTTTTCTAGTCATTTAGAATTTTTAATTTTATACATATTGGAAGAGCTATTTTAGAGTTATCAAGGTATAGATGTTATCATATGTTGTAGGGCACTGTATGCGTAATAATTTCCATTTCAATGGCAAATCATAGTGTACATTATTAAAAAAAAAATTTAAAGGGCAAGTCAACTCAAGTGCAACACCAGCTAAATGCACACATGTACATCCACACACACTGATATATACATACACACAAGGTGAAACTATGAAAATTTGATCAAGTATACATACGCTGTAGCATTACAGCTACATCATAGTGGTTGCCTGGTCAAATGTGAGTCCAAGATATGTCTTGATTTTACAGATGTGAAAATGCAAAAAGAAAAAAGTCTTAGCATTTAAAAAAAACTAACATTTGTAACAGTTATGTCAATAATATTGGGCAAACCTCTTAAAAAGGCATCTAAGTGAGATGAGTATTGAGTATTCCATCCAATTACTTTTGCAATCTATTTATTAGTTAAAAGACACAAAATATTATTCTCTTAATGGTGATCCCTTGTTTTATAGCCTTGTCCCGATGTCTTTTGGTTTCCCATCTTTTCTGAAAAAGCCTGTGATGAATTGGTGGAAGAAATGGAGCATTATGGCCAGTGGTCTGGGGGGAAACATCACGTGAGTTGTACTTTCACACAAAGAACTATAATGTGTATGTTGGATAGGAGGCGGGGGGTGGATATTTTGAGAATTTAGAGGAGATTTGTCTGTTTTGTCAGATATCTCTGACTTATGTACCTCAACGCAGGGGCTAGCCAAGGCTGTCAAGAGAACTCTGGTTGCATTTAATCTATCTGGCCTCAGTTTCTCATTTATGTACACAATTACACTGGATAGTTTCTAAAGGTCAGTGTCTCCAGGCTGGAATGGTAAGGAAAAATATGCCTATTGTGTGCTATTAAGTCTTCTCCAAGGCCACTTTTTATTCTCTGCATTTTCACAGTGAGCTGTAGTGAAAATACCAAGACAAAGTTTATCTGGTTCACTGCCAAAGCTTTTTCTTGTGTGTAAACGTTGGGAGAAGAAATCTGTTTGAACGCCATTGGTGTAATTCAGTACTGAATTTACATTCAGTGTCAAAGACTTGGCAGGAAGTATTACTGTTGGTGGTTCAGTGTGTTTCTTTTCCTCTGAGAATTTGCACATGCCTGCTCCTTAACAATACCAAGGAATTCTAGAATTCTCTAATATTACTGCCTCTGCTCAACTTCATACCCCAGCTAGTTAGCCGAAGTTCAAAGTATGAGAAGGAACCTGAAGCCAGCAGGTTGTAGGATAATAAAAAGCAATCATGGAAGGACTTGAGGTGTCATAAAATTGAAGTGGGGAACATAGCAGGGAAGGCCTGTTTTCAGTGATAGGGGATCCAAAGAGCAGACTGGCAGAATCTTTATCCATCAAGTATCTAAGACTGCCTGAAGGGTTACTGTAAAAAACTAATTTTTTTAGAGGGCATAGGAAGGCTTTGGAAATAAGTTTTATTTACTTGATAGTCAGACCTCAAATGCGTATTAGTAAGTAAGAAAGGAGTCCATTGACTCTGCAATACTTTGCTTCATCATTGATGCATTTGCAAAGCCATGTTATCTAAGTTATTTTGATAGTTTTGCAATTAAAGCAGATGGTACGCCATAATTGAACAACTGTTATTTTTATTGTCTATTATGATCTTGTGGTTGAAAAAAATCCCAAGGTAATATAAATGTGAATTGCATGTGGACCACGCTTTATGACATCATTAATGCTGTTTCTAGGATAGCCGTATATCTGGTGGTTATGAAAATGTCCCAACTGATGATATCCACATGAAGCAAATTGATCTGGAGAATGTATGGCTTCATTTTATCCGGGAGTTTATTGCACCCGTTACACTGAAGGTCTTTGCAGGTTATTATACGAAGGTAGTTATGCTCCCATTCCTCCCGTCTACCTCCTACTAGTTTTTACACAAACATGCTATTTTATATTTTTATTAATAAGCAAATCCATTGGTTTACTTTGCTTTTTTTTAGGGGTTTGCACTATTGAATTTTGTAGTGAAATACTCCCCTGAAAGGCAACGCTCTCTTCGCCCTCATCATGACGCTTCTACATTTACCATCAACATTGCACTCAATAACGTGGGAGAAGATTTTCAAGTAATTATGGCTTTTATTTTTTTACATTTCTTAAAAGAAATATGTCATTACGATAAGGTTTTTGCCTTATTTTTTAAAAATTCTGCTCAGAGGGCATAATTTGAATTTTGCCACCGATTAGAAATTAAACAATAAGCTGATACATTTATTTGTTCCATCTCTTCTAGGGAGGCGGATGCAAATTTCTGAGGTACAACTGCTCTATTGAATCACCCAGAAAAGGCTGGAGCTTCATGCATCCAGGGAGACTCACACATTTGCATGAAGGACTTCCTGTTAAAAATGGAACGAGATACATTGCAGTGTCATTTATAGACCCCTAAGTTATTTACTTTTCATAGAAATGAATTTTTCTTTTGGAATGGATGAACATGTCTTTGGAGTTGTGCTTGAGAAGATGAAAGGAATATTTAAATAACTTCAACAGAACAACTTCACTTTGGGCCAAATGTTTGAAAAACTTTTTGTAAAAAATTGTTTGATATTTCATAATGTCTGCTCTGAGCCTTAAAACACAGATTGAAGAAGAAAAGAAAAAAGTAAAAGCAAATATTTATTTCTATGCCTTTTGTCTCTGAGAATAATGGCAACTTTCTGATTTCGTGTTTCATTTGATCAGATACTCAGCTACAAATGTACAAGTGACAAGTGAGACTAATAATATTTTATTATTAAGAAAGCTTGGGAAGATTGTTATTTATCAACATGTAGACAAAATGAATATAAATGAATATTGACAATTTTTGAATCATTGGAAAACTGGACTTATAACTGAATTTGTATACAACTAATTGTGTAAGTACTTTTTTGATGACCTATGCAGGTACCTTTTCTAATAGTTACTGAAGGAATACAGAGAACAATAAATATCACACAATGTTTTTCCTCAAGACACTTAGTATAAAACACAATTGAGGTACAGAGCCAGTTGAAAACATTTCTGTTTATATTGTTAAACAGAGTTTTTTTGGTTACATTTATGCTACAAATCCAGCCCTCTATTCCTTCAGATCAATTTTCCAAGGTGGATTATATTGAGTCGGTATTAGATTTAGGGAAGCTTTCAAAGCTTTCCATTATTGAAAGTATATCAAGTATCAACCTAAGATCAGCAAGTGTCTTTAAGTCAAAACAGACTTTTGATTTTAATTCTAGAAAATAATGAGGAAAAGAAAATTTCATGAGATTAGTAGTAGCATTTTATGATTAAAAAAAAAACTTTGTTAAGTACTTGAATTTTATATCAGGAAAATAAAGTTGGTGAGCCTTTCTTCTTCTCCGCGCCCTTTGTCTCCCTCCTCATTCTTTTTTAGAGAGTTATTCACCTTTGTGTCTTCCCAGCCTAGTTCCCATTTTATCCTCCTTCTTACTTTTTTGATTACCTTTTCTTGATCCCATTTAAAAAAAATTCCCCAGCACAAAAAAATTTGTGTCTTGAGTTCTCACCATTTTTCTGAGTGCAGTTTAAATATACTTATTGTAGCTACTGTTTTTTAATTTAAAGGTTAAACTTGAAAAAAAAAGATCTAAGTCATGGTGCCAAAATTCATTTTTCTAACACCATGTGTTAGAAACTTATGAAAAATAAAGTAATTTAAAATAAGTTTCTCTTGGTCTCTTTATTACTGGTGATTTATCTTTAGAAGAGAGTATATGATGGGGTATCCAAATATCTGGATATAACAGGCTATGATTTTTCATTTTGCTTGGTACATTTACTGATATTATAATAACAATGAAAACTCTACTTATTGAATTATGAATTGAATTGTAATTATCTTCAATCTGAAAATGATTAGAGATTGACGTAGTTATTTTACAAGTGACGAAATAGAGACAAAACATATATTCAATATATCTGTTCTGTGGTGTTTTTCAAGTGCCTACTATGGGCCATGAACTGTTTCAGGCGCTGAGGAAATAGATAATATAAATATTATAATATTTAACCAAGATAATATAATAACCAAGATAATATAAATACTGGAAGATGGACCGAGGAATAAGGCAGTTGGGTTCTACCTCTTTTCTTTGGTGGCACTTAATACTCAAAGTAAATTCCTACAGTCCATCAACTTTGTTGAAGAGACATGTTAGTAATTCTTTCTGAATTACATTACTGTACTTCAGGGATAGTATTCTAAATATGTAACAACTGGTATGGATGCCAGCCAATCAGAGCAGATTCTGGTTACAAAAAACAGAATCTACCAGTGCAAACCAGCTTAATATCGCTTGTGATACACTTCAGAAGAAAGACATCTACGAGATCCTGTTTCTTTTTAGTTGTTGTATACATGAACGGCAACTATAGTAACTTTTAATTTCGTGCCATGTTTTCAGAAATTGGACCAAGGCAGTCAACTGAGCATTTTCTATCTTCCCTCTTATCTCAGGTTTCATGAAATGATATGAAATGTACTTTTAAAAAGAACAATTCATAATCAGGGAAGGTGTGAAAAATTCTCCCAAGTAGGTCAGCAAATTTGAAAGATACAGGAAATAGGCAGGATTGGTTGGATCCGGAAAACTGTCACTTGAAGCACACTCACCTCTGGCAACCACCAGTCTGTTCTCTGTTTCTCTGAGTTCTTATTTTTATTTTTTTATTTATTATTAAAAAAAAAAATTTTTTTAACATTTATTTATTTTTGAGACAGAGAGAGACAGAGCATGAATGGGGGAGGGTCAGAGAGAGGGAGACACAGAATCTGAAACAGGCTCCAGGCTCCGAGCTGTCAGCACAGAGCCCGACGCGGGGCTCGAACTCACGGACCGTGAGATCATGACCTGAGCCGAAGTCGGCCGCTCAACCGACTGAGCCACCCAGGCGCCGGTCTGAGTTCTTATTTTTAAATTGCACATGTAAGTGATATCATACAGTGTTTCAATTTCTCTGACTTATTTCACTTACCATAATGCCCTCAGGGCCCTTCCATGTTATCACAAATGGTAATATTTACTTCTTTTTTAAGATTGAATAATATCCCATTGTATACATATCACATTTTCTTTATCCATTCATCCACCAGTGAACACTTAGGTTGTTTCCGTGTCTTGGCTTTTATAAATCCTGCTGCTGCAGTGAACACAAGGGTGCAGATTGCTTTTTGAGATAATGATTTTATCTCAAATAAGATATACTCCAAGAAGCGGGATTGCTAGATCATATCACTGCTCTTTTTACTGTTTTGTGGAACTGAAATCTTTTGCTGTAGATATATATTTGTATATTAATTGTTTAATAGAAAAAACCAGTAGAAAGAAAAGGGGAGAATTCTCATAACTGACTTAATTTGAATAAATGGAAGTATATTGATATCAATAGTAATTATTTGTGTTTACAGGTGTGTGCGTGTGTATAACGTATATTCCCAAAAAGCTTTAAATGCTCATCATAGTGGCTTTTTTTTCTAATTCTTCATGTGCATAGGAATCAATGTGAATATTTTCACTTAATACAGATACTTTAGTAGTAGTCCAGTATATTGATTTTCTTGATTCTGCTTCATTTTTGAAAAGCACTAATAATTTACTTGTGTTGGTAACTTACCTGAGAGATCAAATACCTGTTTACAGAATAAAAGTATGGAAAACAATTAACATACGAATTGAGTCCATTCTGTCCATCCTGATGACAGAATCGGTATATTCCTTCACTCCTCTGTTTTCTTGTCTGTCATCTGCACTTATTAATTTCTCTGCTCGCTAAGTCCCCCTTGTATGACATTTTAGGGGTCTGTCATTCATTTGGAATATGGCGTGGCCTATTCAACAGATCTCTTCAAGTTGCAGGAAAGCCAAATACAATTTTTAGTCACAGTTGAGAGTCAGTCTCTGCAAATAGCTCTCTTTGACTAGATGTCAACTACTTTGGAAAATTAAAGTCTTGGAGGCTTCATGAAAGCACCCTTTGTCAAACAGCACGTTTATCTGTGGACTTTCAGAATAGCAAGCTACATGCTTCTTTTAGAATAGCTCTTTAATAAGAAAAGGCCCTTGGGGAAAAGAGAGGAAAAATGTATAAAACTCTTTAATAACACAATGGGTTTTGCATTAAATTTGAAGACATACATTAAGAAATAAGTAGTGAAAAGAGTAGAAAACTACATGGAGACCTGCTTTAAAAATGCAACATAGCTAACTTATTCTAATAAAAGGAATTAGAACAATTGGAAAGATGAGACATACGAGGGATGTATATACTTTATAAATCTTAACTCTTACAGCTTTTTTTTTAAATTTTAAGAATTAAATTATATTTTTGTATCATTGTTAACATATTAAAATAGATTAGAATATACTCGTGAAAAGTAACGTCTTTGCTGATTTTCGAGGTGGTGGTGTTTGTTTTTCTAATAAATCAGCTAACTGACTATTTTGGCCTGCTTTTGTGTCTCTACTGAAAAATGGTTGACTAAGAAATCAGATTCCTTATAATCTTTTCAAAATAGAAAGGAATTTTTGCCTATTTAATGATGCAAAACACAGAAGTAATCAACTTAAGTTTCAACAAATGAAATGGAGAGATCACGAACGCCATAAGTATCATAAAGAATATACTGTTTCTTTCAAATTATCCTCACTCCAAAGTAAATACAGTTGACTCTTGAACAATGCAGGGGTTAGGGATGCCAAGACCACCCTCCAACCCCCATTCTCCACACAGTGGAAAATCCCGGTATAACGTTTGACTCCCCTAAGAATTTACTAATAACGTATTGTTGATTGGAAGCCTTGTAGTCTAACACATGCTTTTAAAAATGTTATATGTATTATATACTGTATCCTTATAATTAAACTAGAGAAAATAAGAGAAAATGTTATTAAGAGAATCATAAGGAAAAGAAAATACATTTACAGCACTGTACTGTATGTAAAAAATACCTCACATATAAGTGACCACGTGCAGTTCAAACCCATGTTGTTCAAGGGTCAACTATATTAGATTACCCCAAAAAAATTAAGAGATGGAAAAGGAGAAAAAATTTCATGAAGCTTTGATGAGGAATGAATTTCTTTGTGCTTAATTATAAAATAATTAAAAAAAATACTTTTAAGCGACATTTTTCTTAACACTGATTTAAGTTCGGTAACTTTTCTTTTAAAAATGCAATGTGAAATGGTAGAATCCTTAAAGAAATCACATCGTGATATTTAATTCTGCGTCTTCACAGGAGAATTTTGTGTTTGAAAAAGCTCAATAACTTCCAAGTGAGAAACGGACAAATTAAAGTGTGATTTTCTCTTGATGAGCATAAATGATTAGATGATTGATTAATTGAAGATATATGCATATTTAAAATGAGATTATCCTATTAAA